AAGAGGCAAAGCCGACATTCCCACATCTCCCATGGACATTCCGAGGAGGATGGCAACGTGTGTGCTGGCTCTTTCATTATCAGCCTTCAAAATGCCGCCCAGTTCCTTGCCTGTGCTTGGGGACCATCACCCCCCAGCCCTGCTCCATGTGCTCTGGTCATGATGTGTTTAGAGCATCCCGGGATGGGCAGCTCTTGCTTTACCCAACAATCACAGCTCAAAAACTGCTCTCACATCCAGCTTAGGTGTGCGAGAGGAGCCCATGTCCGGCGGAGCAGGCGGGATCGCCAGGCGGGAGCACCGGGCAGCTCCTGGGCGAGCTGCAAACCCCAACCCCGGATGGAACCCACGGTGAAACACAACCGCAGGCACAGCCCCTCCACGCTGCTCGTGATGCAGAACCTCCGGATCCAGCTGGATGTGGAGCATCCCCTGCCATGCCCTGGGCTGAGGGGGGCTGGCCAGGGGGGCAATGACGTTTGGGGGTCCTGTAACAGCTTTGTGAGCTCCGGGGCCAAGCATCACGTCACTCACAGGGGTGTCGTGTGCTCCCGGAGGCGCGTAACTCCCAGGTACTTGAGGAACCTGTAAATTCCAGGGTTTTATGGGGGTGTATTTTACAGCGTGGTGTCAGGAGATGTAATGATGGTATGTATCACTGCCAGGGGCGGGATGCAGCTGGTGCGGGCTCTGCCGGGGAGAAAAGGCTCTTTGCAGAGAACCAGGAGCAGGACAAGGCTCTCGGCTCCCTCCGTGCTCCCGCATGGCTGGTACCGGCTCCCACAGGATGCTGCAGGGATGGATGTGCTCAGCATCCCCGGCAGAGCCCGGGCGCCCGGGGTGGGCAGTGGGGAGCCGGCACCAGCCAGAGTGCTGGTTATAGAGCCAGAGCCCAAGTAATTTATCAGGAAGCTTTTAGGGAAATGAGCAGCTTCTGGGCCCCTGCCAAGGCGCAGCCTCGCTGGGCGCTGCCCGCGTCCTCTGGCAGCTCTTGGGGGACAGGGCTGGGGATGGGAATGGGGACAGGGTGAGGAGGGACAGAGACAGGGATGGGGATGGGATGGGGACAGGACGAGAAGGGGGATGGAGGTGGGAACTGGAAGAGGACAGGGCAGGGACACATATAGGGACAGGCATGGAAATAAAGATGAGAATGGAGACAGGGATGGAGATGAAGACAGGGATGAGGATGGGGCAGGGGTGGAGCTGAGACCATCCCACACCAGTTGCAGCACCTTTTCCATCTCCCTCCCTTCCCATCCCAAACCCCAGTGTGGTGCTGTGCCAACCCCAGCCCTGCAAACTCCCAGCCCTGCATTTGCTGCCTGGTTCCTTCTGCCCCACACAGGGTCCTTCTCCCTCCCACTTCCCACCTCCCACAGCACCTTCCCTCATCCCACCACAGCACTCACACAGCAAGAGCCTTTACATTCCTATTCCCAGTGATCCTTTCCCTCCCTTAGCGAGGAGCAGCCACAATGAGCCATCCCCAGCTATGGCAGAGCCGTGCGAGGGGCAGCGGGACTGGGATCCCCCCATGCTCCTGCATTGGGAGCTGCCATCTCCAAACCTGCCAGAATTCCCTTCTCCCAATTCCCATTAAAACTGAGCAGCTTTGAAACGCCGAGCTCTGGAATCACATTATTCCTTTTATCTATTTTTGCTCTTATGTTATTGCATTTCCCAGCAAATTCAATTGTCCTCTTTTGCATTGTGCCCCCTTATGTTTATTCACAGCATCTATAACAAACCTGGTTAAATATATATATACACAGAGAAACACATCTCAAGGCCTTTGGAAACACCACCCCATAAACCCCCAAAACTTTGCTTATGGAGATGAATAAAGCCTCATTCCAGGTGCAGCCCCCTCCGGCAAGGCCGCCGCAGTGATTCCGTTGCTGAGCAGCGCTTCCCATTCCCATTCCTCATTTGGACGCTCACTTCAGTTTGTTTGACAAATTACATGAGATTAAGAACAAACCCAACCCCGGTTCAGTGGAACACAGCCCATTCCTCCCGGCACCCCCAACGCGGGGTGTCCCCCCCTTGCTGCTGGGGAGTGCATCCAGAGGGCGGGAGATCCCATGCAGGCACAAGGAAATGTGTTTTCCCCCTGGATGGGGGAGTCAAACAGGGCTCCAGGGGGATGTGCTCCAGCCCTGATGCCCCAGGGATGGGCTCCTCATGGAAAGGGGACCCCATGGCAGGGGCAGCACCTTTGCCCCATGCTCTCCCAGCTCCGAGAGCTTCCCCCTGGTTGTATTTATTGGTTTAATCTATTTTCCATTAAAAATGCATCCCCCGGGATGGGATCCATTAATGGGGCCGCTCCGAGCGCAGCTCCATTGCTACGGGCTTTGCACCAGCAAATTGTCCCTCAGCACAGGAGGGGGACACCCAGGGCCAGAGCCCACCGTGGGGTGAATGAAGGTGCTCCCCTCCCTGCCAGGATCCCCATCCCGACACCCTGGAGCCTCCAGCCACAGGCTGGATCCTGGTTCCCCCTGGATTTGTTGTTAATCCAGGTGAAAACGCTTTTGGGAAGCTTCTCCCCATCGAGGCTCTTTGTAAGGTGAATGGCCTTAAACCATTCCTCAAATGCCAACACGGCATATCAGGGCCCGGGATTGAGGAGAGGGGAATAAATCCACTGGGAGCTCGTAACGACCCACAGCACGGTCAGGACCCACAGCAGGACCCATGTCTAGACAGGGATGGGGCACACGAGAACGGCCAGGAAGGGGCTCCAGGTTTGGGGCTGCTGGAGGACCCCAGGCGCCCCCCATTGCCCACCTCCCAGCCCAGCAGCACCCATGGGTGCCCTCCCTGCGCCGGCACCCATCGCCCTGCCCCATCACACCGCCAGGAGCCCCAGCAGCCCAGAGCGCTTCAGAAATCCCACGTTTATTTCAGATCTGAAACATCCAACCAGGAAGAAAGAAAAAGAAGAAACCAAAAAACCCGCCCAAAACAACCCCAGAAATGAGGAACCGTCCCAGATCCCAACCAGTCCGGTGCCCAGGGGGTGCTACATACAGGCTGGGGGGCTCTGGGGGTGCAGGGTGGGTGACCCCGGCCATTGCGGGCTCCCTGGCCTCAGGGTCTCTCTGGCTCTTCCCGAGGGAATTCAGCCTAAAGTGCATCAAGCAGGAGGTCCCCGGAGTCCCCCCAGTCTGGCGGGTGG